GGGGGGGGGGTAGAGCGAACGCGCAATATGGCGACCATTACTGGTGGTGGTTGGTTATGGTTACACCCATAGGGTTCCACCCCCCGCCCCACACCGCACAACTGACAACCGCCGGGACGCCACGCCGGGTGCCGCGGCTCCCTCCCACCTCATCCATTTGTCCGCTATACAGCTCCCCGGTTGGAGATAAAAAAAAAGAAATATTGAAAATTATTTATCATTTTGAACGCGTCGCGCTTCACGATTGGCTTCTTCACGCCATCTCTCTCTCTCTCGCTTTCGTCCCCCCCCCCCTTTCTCATGTGCTGCTGCAGCCCATGCCCATGAGCCCTTGTACACGGGGGGAGGGGGGGGACTTTGTCATAACTACGAAAGGCGATAGCTGCAATCCAGGAACAAATACCTCGACCAAAAGTTGGCTGTCCCGATCACACTTTTGGTCGGTCAAGTCATAGACAGCCAACTGTTCCTGGTTGCCGCGTTATCGTTTGTTTCTGGTTTCGCTAGTCGACATTAGCCTGTAGCCCCCCACGCCCCCACCCCTCGTTTGGTTCGGGGCGGCGTCCTCTCGTCTGAGGCTGGCACGCTGGCCGGCAGCGGTCAAGGTGTTTGTGTTTTCGTAGCTTTTGTCCGAGAGCCGGCAAGAAAGAGAAGCGGCAGAGGGTAAAAGGGGCGGAAGAAGAGAGAGAGAAGGCGACTCGTAAACACAACCACACTTGAACGACAATCGCGTACAAGTACAACATCCTCCTCAGAAAGTCAACAATAAATCAAAAGGCAAAATGCCTCCCCCCCCCCTCAAAAAAATAAAGTTCTATGCTGCAACCCTTCTACCCGAAACAGTCACAGTCACTTCCCCAGGTCGCATTCGCAGCCTTGGGGACGGCGTCGTCGTCGTCCTCTTCGCGGCACGCACAGGCACACCTTCTTGTCCTGGCGGCACGGCGACCAAGCGGCGACCTAATCCAGTAAAATAGCACCTCATGCCGCGCGGCGCGCTGCGCCAGTCTGCATCAATAAACAACGGCGCGCATCCTGTCTCTGTCCCCCCCCCCCTCTCTCTCTGTCTCTCTGTCTCTCTCTCTCTCTCTCTCCCTCCCTCCCT